ACTAATTCCAGCCGCTCAATTTCGCCATCGCAGATATCATCTGGATGATTAGCGGTCCACCACTGTGCGATTTAGAAGAAGTTTTCTTCCTCGCACAAATTCCTTGTGGAATAGATTACCACCAGCGATTTTTTCCAACCAATACGACTTAGGGACCTTCAAGAAAAGAGCCTACTCCTTTTAAAAGGCCGGCAACGCATCTGCAATTCCCCTGGTGTTGCAGTTGTTCATGGGCGGCGGTAGTCATTTACCATCAGGTGAGCCGCATGCTCGTTTGCCCCCTCTCCTATAAAAAAATCAAAAAAACTCGGATATTAAGTTCCCAAAAAACCGCCTCCAACACAAGCGCCCCGAGTGGCTAAAAGCGACAACATTCAAATAATATTTTTTCTTGTTGAACAGAAATCGTGTACATGATAAATATATGTCTGAGAATTTCAACTGAAGATCCCGGTTTTGATTTTGGAAATACATCAGGATAGCGTTAATTGCTAAAAATAGTTAAAGTGTGAGAGCGGATGTTCAACTTGTTCTCTTGCGTACGCAGTTAATCATTATCAGTAGTAAGACAGCGTAAACGCACTATACATTAAGTATAGAGCAATTACAATTCAACCACACCGTAACACGTCTCCGCCACAATCACACACCAGTATAACGTGAGGTATGTAATTACATGATAACACCAAAATATGTAAACCAACAGCAACACTACTTATCTCAATGTAACCCAGTGCAGCCTCTCAGCAACTCCAATTCTCCTTGCCTGCACTAGAAGAATTACAACAACGAACAGAACCACGACACATATTAATTTGAAAACAGTATCGAAGAATGGGGATGACAGTATACTGGATTGAGTTCCGTTTTAAGCAGTAACCAGTATAGCAAGATAAAAAGGAACGGCTTCACTGTATACTGAATTGACGTCACACCTTACACGGGGTTTAGACTCTTGCCTCGCCCCTCGTCTCGTACCTCGCCTCACAGCTCGCGTGTTGTTGCGAGGTAACAAGTGCCTGTTTACATTCTCGCGATGCGTTTAGTTTGGGTTGACCGTTGAGCCAGCAATGATGAAAGACGTCAAAATAGTTTTATCATCATCATCATCATTACAGCCCTTCACAAGTCCACTGCTGAAGATAGGCCTCCCCCAAAGTATGCCACAAAGCACGGTCCTGAGCCACCTGCATCCATCGACTTCCTGCATATCTTACCAGGTCGTCACTCCATCTAGTGGGGGGACGCTCTACACTTCGCCTGCCGGTACGAGGCTGCCACTCGAGAACCTTTCTTCCCCATCGGTTGTCGGTTCTTCGAGCTATATGGCCGGCCCATTGCCACTTCAGCTTACTAATCCGTTGGGCTATGTCGGTCACTCTGGTTCTACTGCGGATATCCTCATTTCTGAGTTTATCACGCAGAGAAACTCCGAGCATAGCCCTCTCCATAGCTCGCTGAGCGACTTTGAGCTTCCTCATCCGGCCAGCAGTGAAGGACCACGTCTCAGTTCCGTATGTCATCACTGGCAACACGCACTGGGTGTACAGTCTCGTTTTCAAGTTTTGAGGTATACCTGACGAGAAGATGTGCCGTAATTTCCCGAACGCTGCCCAACCGAGTTGAATCCGTCGATTGACCTCTCGGTCGAAGTTGGACTTACCTAGTCGGACTATTTGTCCCAGGTAAACATACTCGTCAACAACTTCGAGCTTAGTGTTCCCAACAACTACCGGCATAGGTGTGACATGGACATTAAACATGATCTTTGTTTTGTCCATGTTCATCTTAAGACCTATCCGTTGGGAAACACTATTGAGGTCATTGAGCATAGTGCTTAGGTCCTCCAGCGATTCTGCCATAAGGACTATATCGTCGGCAAATCGAAGGTGAGTGATGTACTCGCCATTGATGTTGATACCGTATCCTTTCCAGTCCAGAAGCTTGAAAACATCTTCCAATGCAGCGGTAAAGAATTTCGGGGATATGACGTCACCCTGTCTTACACCTCTCTGCAATTGGATAGGTTTCGTACTCTGGTTCTGTACTCGGATATCCATCGTAGCCCTACTGTACAAGCACTTCAACACTTCGATATACCGACAGTCAACTTGGCAACGCTGAAGGGACTGCAGCACCGCCCAAATTTCGACGGAATCAACGGCTTTCTCATAGTCCACATACGCCAGACATAGTGGCAAATTGTACTCCTCGGACTTCTGTACAATTTGCCGAAGCGTATGTATGTGGTCTATGGTGCTAAAGCCTTTTCGGAAACCGGCTTGTTCGGGAGGCTGGAAGTCGTCAAGACTGCGCGCGAGACGATTCGTAATGACTCTCGAAACAGCACGTAGACGCGGCTCAGAAGGTTAATATATATAATAATAAAGGGAAATAGTTTTATATAAATTGCTAGTACCTGTTGTGCAAGATTAAATAATATTATTTTGTTAAAATTGTAATTTGAAAACAAAAGCAATTCGAATGTTATTACGGAAGGGCGCCGTAAACAAACTGAAACGAGAGCGCGAGTCTAAAAACCACGCTCGCGTCCCTCGCGAGGCCCTTTGCCTCGTGCCCAAAAAACCGCCTCCGACACAAGCGCCCCGAGTGGCGAGGTGAACTGCCAGAGTGTAAACAGGCTATTACAGTAGTCTCAGTGTATATCGGAACATACCCAATATCAGGCTAGGCTGTATGGTTTATGACCTTTATGGCAAATTGTATTCGTAATCGTAACAACAACGGTAAGAGCATAGAGCATGTAACCAGTGTTGCCAGTTAGTGGGGAATTCCCCAAACTGCGGGGAATCTCAAGTTAATTGGGGATTTATTGGGGACTGGCATTATGCGGGGAAATTTAACATTTTACTACTTACACATCAACTACAAATGACAGCTGTATTACTCAGATTGACAATAATTAATTGTTGCCAGTTCAAGCAATAGCAGTAGTTCAAAAAATATTATTTTCATTACTTTCTTGACAGACTATAGTATCTTTAATGCAACAAGAGAGGGGATAAAAAATTGGGCGGCAGTGTCAAGTTTAATAATCCTTTGAGCAAAATGCTTGCATGAAATGTATGAAAAAAGGTTAGAAAATAAATATTATTTATTTATTTATTTAACAATTTATGTACACACAAAATAATGTTACAAGGAAGAGAAAAAAAAAAGATATTTTGTACAAAGGCACTGCTTATTTCATATTGAAATTTCTTCCAGCAGGCCTGATACTGGACAAATTAAAAGAGAAGCTGATCTAGTGTGCTTTCTCATAATAAAATTTTATAATATTAATATACTTAACATAAACTATAGATAATAAAAACAAATATCCATGTAAACATACATATAACTAAATATCACTATAAATACATATACACACATATATATATTACATATATAAATATAATAATATATTATATATATAATCATTGGGACGACAAAGAAAGATAGTGCTCTTTGACTCGCCTTTTAAACACGGACACTGATTGAGCCTCTCGAATTGCAGCAGGAAGAGAATTCCATAACCTAACTGCATGTACTGTAAAAGAGTGAGAATAGGACTTAGTTTTAGAGGAAGGGAAATTTAGGAAGGTTTTTAAATGTGATCTGCAAACTGCATCGGGGGAGTGCGCAAAGTGGAACCGATCACGTAGATAGGGTGGTGATGTTGGATTGTATAGTATGTTAAAGAGGAGGCATAGGATTCGGGTATTCCTGCGAAGTCGGATTGGGAGCCACTTGAGCTGTTTGCGATAGGAGGAGACGTGGTCATACTTTTTTAGTCCGAAAATATAACGAATACATAAGTTTTGCAAGCGCTCAAGTTTGTTTAATTGCTCCTCAGTCGCATCCAAATAACAGACATCAGCATAGTCAAGAATCGGGAAAATAAGTGTTTGGACAAGAGAAATCTTCGTTGATAACGGCAGAAAATGTTGAAGGTATTTTAAGGAATGAAAAGTATAATATATTTTCCTGTTAATTTCTGTGATATGTGCATTCCATGTCAACTTGCAATCCATGATGATGCCCAGATTCTTAACCGTTTCTGAAATGCTTAGTGGAATACCATTAATTTGCAGAGTTGGCAGTGAAGAAAAGTCAAGTAATTTACGAGTAAACCTGGTGCCTATAATCATTGCTTGTGATTTTTTAGGGTTATATTTTTTAGGGTTATATTATAACAAGTCCGTATGATCTAGACCACTCATCGATTTTATTTAGATCGTTATTTATTTCAAGTGATGCTGAATTTGCTTCAGTCACTAGAAAATGACGATACAGCTGCAAATCGTCTGCATAGAGATGGAAGTTTGAAGATATCACCTGGGTGATACAGTTAATAAAGATGGAAAAGAGTAAAGGAGAAAGGACGCCACCTTGAGGTACACCCGTGGCTAGATTGCACCACTTAGATAAAGTTTCATTGATACGAATACACTGAGAGCGGCCACGGAGGTAGGAATCAAACCATTGAATAGTTGAAGGAGACACATTAATAGAATGAAGAATGCTAAGAAGTATATCAAAATCAATAGAATTGAAGGCACTACTAAAATCTAGCAGCACAAGTACCGTTAAATATTTTTGATCTATACCGCAACGGATATCATCCGTTACCTTGAGGAGAGCAGTAGTTGTAGTTTGTGACTAGGCCTAAAACTGGATTGAAAAGTACTTAAGATATTGTTACTATTATTTAAATAGTTGAAACTTGTTTCATTGTTTAAAATAATATTGAGGGGTATTTGTAGGGAATCAGCAGATTTTGTCCCCAAATTTGGGGAATTTTATTCGGATTTTTGGGGAGTTACATACATTTGCATTGGCAAGCCTGCATGTAACCTATAAAATACTATAAAAGTAAATAAAAATTAAAAAGTGGTGAAGGTGAAGCTAAAGTGGCTATTTCATTTTCAATTTTCATAATTACTTACTAGAAAGTTTATAATAATTCAGTGTTAGTATTTGTTGATCAGTTACAGCTAATGGCGTCCAAAGAAGGAGAAAAAGGAAAGGTAAAGTATACTGTTTTTGAAATATATTTCAACATTATGAACTTAATAATATATTATTTTATTATTTTTTATTTATAGAACGCTCAAGGCACTGGGGATAACAAAGAAAAGCGTAGAAAAGAATCAATTCTAGATTTGAGTAAGTATTTGGAAAAAAGCATTCGAGTGAAATTTGCCGGTGGACGTGAAGCGGCGGGAATATTGAAGGGTTATGATCCTCTACTAAATCTAGTACTCGATAATACAACAGAGTTTTTAAGAGGTATGTGTTTGGGACTAATTGTTTTATTACTTATCTCTTAAAACTCCGTTTAATTGTAATGCTGTTCTGTATCATGATAAAATTGTTTATATAAACCAAGATCTTGTTTCATATAATTTAAAAGGCTTATTTTTATAATTGATAATTATTGGTTTATTGCTTTTGGAGCATTCTTACATTTTAGCAACACCAACCTATGCATTTCAAAATGCCTACTTCATTTACAGATCCAGATGACCCGTACAAGCTACTTGACGACACTAGAGCCCTTGGTTTAGTTGTATGCCGTGGAACATCAGTTGTTTTAATATGTCCAATGGATGGTATGGAGGCGATACCAAATCCATTTATTACTCAAGAGGGATAGTCTTATAATTATAATATAATGAATATTTTTTTACATCTATAAAGTTAAGTTATAATAATTAAAAAATTAAGGATCAAAGTAAGTTTTTTTCTTAAAAATAAACTTTATTTCAAAAATATTGCACACATATAGTTGCTTATTAACTAGCTTACTTAAAATTATAATTGCACATTCATTCAACATGTACAAGGCAAACATGGTTTAAATTACTATGGTAACTTTAACTTATAATTTTGCTACATTTTTAATTTTGTTCTTTATTCAAAACCAAATTCATTTCTAATCCAGGGATAACTTTTTGGGCAGTCAACACAAGTTATCATATACTTATCATGTTCTAATACTTTTGAAGGTAATTTACAAGTTTTGGGCATGGTGCAAGCAATTTCATTTTCATTAAAACGACGATCCTTACACTGCCAAGGCTGAAACTTTTTTAATTGAAGCACTGGTGTTGGTCTCCTCATCCAGTCGATGACCTCACGGTATGTTACAAAGTATACATCTGGCAATCTTAAAAGCTCAATAATAAATCTCTGGAAAAGAAAATGTAAAGTTAACTGTGTAGTTACAAAGTCAAAAAACTATTAATACATACTGAAATTAGCCTTAAAAATTTTGAAAATAATTTATCAGAGTAGTGTACAGAATCAGAATAAACCATTACAATCTACATAATTAACTTAACAACTTCAGTGCCAACTCCACATATTTGCGGGGGGTGGGCTGAGTGTGGGGTGCCAACCCTGTAAATTAGCGGAGTAGCACCTCTCAGTTTGTATGCCTCATCACACATTTATAGGTTGGCACTGCGCTTGAATGTTGCAAAATTGTTGTGCAAGTTGTGGTTTTTAAAAATTGAATTTTATTTTGAAGAAATTAGCATTCAATTATGAGTGATCACCCGGGTCCTTCGCGGCCGAAACGAAAGAAAATGGTGCCAGTTTATAAGATTACTGATATTGATATTGAAGAGAAGCTTTTGGGCAACGACTCTGATGATGACTTCCAGCTTGAGGACATGTCATCAGATGATGATGAAGGGGAAATCAAGCGGCAGAATATTATGCAAATTGCGGATATGGATGTACAATTGGCGTTGCAACATACTCGTCGAAGGAGCCCATCATTAGAAGTATTACAACCACCAGAAAGATCAGCACCACCTGAAGAAGGAGCTACTTCTTCATTGACAACGACATTAGAGCTAAAAAAATTGATTTCACTAAACAAAATGAGTTCTTTGGCGCGCCTGACCCAACTCCAATCACATTTTTCAATTTCTTCTTTGAAGATGATTTTCTTGCAATGATTTGTGAAAAAATTAATCCCAAGCCGGAAAGTTATTTCTTTTCGGTGTTTCGGAATTATCAAGAATAACTAATTGGAAGGACGTGGACATACCTGAACTGAAAATATTCCTTGGCTTACTTTTCCACATGGGTTCTTTTGTGTGGGACTACAAGATTACTGGAAAAAGAGCTGGTTATTTTCAAGACCTATTTTTGATCAACAGATGAGTAGAAATAGATATCTGCTAATAATGAGATGTCTTCATTTCAGCTCGGAGACAGAGATTGTGAATGACGACCCACTGTACAAAATACGTAGTGTCGTTAATTATTTCAACCAAAAAATGAATACATGCTATTATCCTGGCAGAGCTGTCGTTGGATGAGAGCATGGTTTTGTGGAGAGGGCGACTGAGATTCAAGCAGTATGTAAAAAACAAGCGCCATAAGTATGGTATCATTTTGAAGTTTCGAGTATATGCAGGGAGCCAAGACCATGATGTTGCTGGAAAAGGGTACGCCGAAAAGGTTGTAATGCAATTGGTGGAGGAGAAACTTCACAATGTACACTCATTATATATGGATAACTATTATAATAGTTTCCACTTGGCTAAACGTCTTTTACATAATAAGACTTATTGTAGTGGAACTTTAAGAAAGGATTTGAAAGGAAATTCAAAGGATGTGGTTCAAAAAACGCTAAAAAAGGCGATAATATTTCAAGTTTTCGAGAAGGTGTGCATATCGGAAAATGGAAAGATAAGCGCCCAGTGATGTATGTCACCACGGAATATGAAGATATAAGGATACCAGTTGCGAATAAGCGTGGCCAAATCAATGAAAAACCTACAACTATTGCCAAATATAATGAGTTTATGTCAGGAGTTGACCGACAGGACCAACTGCTCGTATTTTATCCGTGCGAAAGAAAATCTCTTCGCTGGTATTTCAAGTTAGCCATCCACACCTTTCAACTTCTATTTATAAACTCTTACAAAATGTACAACAAGTATTCTGGAAAACCTAATATATACATAATATATGACACTACGATTATCGTTTAGTTTTGATAAATGAGCTTTTATCCGAAAAAAATACTGCAGTGGCTGTTCCAACCGGCCCAAGCAGAGCGAAAACGAGCAGAGAAGTGCCACACAAAATCAGTAAAATAACTGAGAGAAATTCCAAAGGAAACCTCAAGCGCAAGATGTGCCGCATGTGCCCAAAATCTCAAAAACCGTTTTGACGAATTCCATTTGTCCATTTAGACTTTATTTTATTTTGACATCATAGCTGTGCATTATATTACAGCTCTGTTTATAACATTAGGATTTTTTTAGAAGTTTTATTTTGTGTTAGAAGCTGAAGAAGAAGTTTTTTTTGTTCAACTTTTTTTTTAACTGTTTTTATTAACTATTACTGTTTAATTTTTACTCCATTTTTGTAAGCTTACTATGTGAAAAACTAGTGATTGTTCTCAAGAGTATTAGAATTAAGAAAAAGTAGATTATGTCGTGTCCAAATGACATAAATAAACGATTATACATAAAATAAGCCACCCCGCTAATTTGCGGGCCCGGCACTAGAATTGAAAATTTCAACCCCAGTGCCGGGTCCGCATATTTGCGGGAATATTAATTTTGTTTTTTCTTCATAGTAAAACATGATAATAATAGTCAAACATTTATTGAAATATTCTTTAGGTATGTGTCCGAACGCATATTATTAAAAAAAAACATTTTGGATTTTCTCAAACCACCCCCATAGTCAGGCCGGCAGCGAAGCTGCTAAACCATTATAATGTATTTAATTAACAAAAGAACTAAAACTAATATCTTTCAGTCATATGCTACTCCATCTGGTATAGTCCAAGGTTTTTGACTGCGTTTCCTTGCTGAATACTTAGCATTTGAGCTAGAACCAGCCAGCAGTGGTGATGACCAATTGCAGATACAGTTCCCTTACAAACTTCATTTTGAGTGAACCCCATGAACTGATAGTCTCTACAGCAAATGGCTTAAATATACAGTAAAACTCGCTTAAGACAATTTTGAAGGGACCCAGCCAAAATCGCGACATAAGCGGGAAAGTGTATTATGTACGATAGAGAATTTTTTTTTATAGGAAAGGGGGCAAACGAGCATGCGGCTTACCTGATGGTAAGTGACTACCGCCGCCCATGAACAACTGCAACACCAGGGGAATTGCAGATGCGTTGCCGGCCTTTTAAAAAGGAGTAGGCTCTTTTCTTGAAGGTCCCTAAGTCGTATCGATTCCACAAGGAAGTCGTGCGAGGAAGAAAACATCTTCTAAATCGCACAGTGGTGGGCCGCCAATCATCCAGATGGTGTGGATGGTATCGGGAGTTCTGCCTCGAAGTGCGTTCGTGAAATTTGGCGGCTGGGATTAATCCGAACAATTCCTCAGAGCACTCCCCGTGGTAGATGCGAAAGAAAATGCAAAGGGATGCAACATCTCTTCGCAATGCCAATGAATCGAGTCGATCGGAAAGGACTCGGTCGTCGACGATTCGAGCCGCTCTACGCTAGATGCGGTCAAGTGGAAGGAGCTGGCACTGGGGAGCCCCTGCCCAGAGATGGGAACAGTATTCCATGTGAGGCCGAACCTGCGCCTTGTAAAGTTGCAGGCGGTGTGCCGGCATGAAATACTGTCCCGCTCTGCTGAGCACGCCAAGCTGTTTAGAGGCCAATTTGGCCTTCTCTTCCAAGTGACCACGAAACTGCAAGTCACTCGATATGTCGACTCCGAGGATTCCGATACTGGCTGAGGCAAGAAGGAGAGTGCCCTGAAACTGAGGAGATACGACAAAGGGGTTCTTTTTAGCGGTAAACGCGCAAACTTGTGTCTTCTCAGGATTAAACTGGACTAGATTTAGTCGCCCCCAATCCGAGACTTTGTTCAGCAAAGACTCGACGTCAGACACAAGTTTGTTCCGGTACCTACTCGGCGACGTTTTCCCGAGAAATATTGGCACGGCCGGTGTATAGAGCATCACCAGTGCTGTCATCCGCATAGCAATGAATGTTACCACTTACCAGTTAGCAACATATTATTGATATGCAGAAGAAACAGCGTTGGTGATAGCACACAGCCTTGTGGAACACCAGCGTTAATAGGCTTGTAGTCGGAGCATGCACCGTCTACAACGACCTTGATGCTCCGATCTGCAAGGAAGCTGGTGATCCAATTGCACAATTTCTCGGGAAGCCCATAGGAAGGGAGCTCCGAAAGAAGCGCTTTGTGCCAAACCCGATCGAAGGCCTTCGCAATGTCCAAACTAACGGCCAACGCCTCCCCCTTGGACTCTACTGCCTCCGCCCATCTATGGGTCAGGTAGACCAGAAGATCACCAGCTGATCGACCCCGACGAAAACCGTATTGGCGGTCACTAATCAGCTGGTGATCCTCAAGGTATCGCATGAGCTGACAGTTAATAATGGATTCCATTATTTTGGAGAACAAGGAGGTGATGGCGATAGGCCTATAGTTGGACGGGTCTGAGCGGTCGCCTTTATAGGTGTATTTTTAAATTTGTTAGCAAGGTATAATATTATACATAATATGTATATGTATTTAAATATGTTACATCAAAGTTAATTATTATTTATAATGACATTACTTAAAGTAGTCATTTTGGTTTGACAAAGAGTTTTTGATGCATTAGTAATGATAAGGCTTTCAATATAACTTAAATTCTGCAGTGCATCTTGACTTTCCCCGAAAGAAGATACATAGCGCCTTAAATCGTTTACTGGTGATAATGCCTCTGCGTTTGATAAAATTCGAATTCCCTGAAAATCCCTGCAGTATCGCGGGTTCTTCTTCCAACACGATGTCAGCTTTGTTATTTCGGAAACCTTTCTTGAAACATTTATGTTCGGTTTTAAGAATTGCTTGTCTTGCCACTGCAATGTTTAGGATCGCATCATGCACAGTCAAGGGTTGTTTGTGGTCAGAGTCTTTCATTTATTTAAGATAGCGATGTATCAATCGTGTTCTGTAGCCTTGTTTAAGGACTTTATTAATGCCCTGATCCATCAGTTGCAACTTGCTTGTCGCATTTGGAGCTAAGAAAACAAGCTTGATGTTCTTTAGCTCATCATCTTTAGGGTGAGCGGGGCAGTTATCAATGAAGAGAATTATGAGTGCCACTCGGCTCGGCTCGGGTGTTGCACAGATGACGTATTGGAAGGGATGACGAATCGTATTAAGCGTGTTAAAAATGTATGAAAACATGTCTCAAGTTGCAGGGACTGATATAAAATGGCGTATTATGCTAGAAATCGTATTAAACGTGATCGTATTAAGCTAGTTTTACTGTATAATATAGTCATTTCATTTTTGTGCCATTTACTCAGCCGCACTTGATGAGTCGTGGCTTTAAACAATATACTTAAATTGCTGCCAAGAGATCAGTCATACCTTTGGGTCTCTTGATATTATCTCTGATTATTCCACAAGGCTCTAAAACTAATTCAACATTTATATGGACAAGATCTCTTTGAATAATACCGTCCAGAGAACTGTGATGGAACAAACTACTGGCACTTATCTTACACAATAGTCTGTGGAGCTCAAACTCATTGACGTCACTACCACAAGGACACTGTTGTGGTTGAAAGATTAGCAATAACAATTTTTAGGTATTTGGAATATTTTTTGGAAGATAACTTCTTGAGTGGCCTTATCATACTGGCAAGCACAATGTTGTGTTAGCCCTGACTAGATGGAGTGTTGACCTGATGAAACATGCAGCTCAATGGATGCAAGTGGCTCGGGACCATACTTTGTTGCAATCTATGGGGGAGGCATATGTACAGGAGTGATTTTGCAAACGGCTGCTATTAGCTATACAATTAAGATGGTATTTCTCTTAAAACATAAGTAGTAAGTAGTAATTTATATATTTGTATGGTAATAGGTTTAATTAAACAAGTGGTAAAATTAAAAGTTTTGTACAACCGACTTCAATATAAATTATTAACGATAGCTCAAAACCTACTGGTCAGACCTTGATCTTTATATGGGACCATGTGACAAGCACCAGCTTTCAAATAAAAAAAGTATCATCAAAATTGGTTCGCCAAGAAAAAAGTTATAAGGTAATACACATAAAAAATATATATTCAGTCGAATTGAATATCTCCTCCTTTTTGAAGTCGGTAAAAATGCTTAAGCATATTGCCAAAAATGAAAGAGATATTTGACGTAATTATTGGCTTAAAATTTTGAAGCAGGGTTTTATCTTTCAGGAATTTTGTTATATGTTAGCTGTGTACAAAAGCCTTTTTCCTCTTTATTTTCATAATTTTTTTTTACTAAAATTTCCTAATAAAATAAGTCTGCACCCTCTACAATAATTCTAATACTCATTTATAGATCTAAGTGGTTAGTTTTGATTCTGAATAGTTTATAAAGATAAATTTAATTGTTGTGGTTCTTACCTTTAATACAGCAAGGTAATGAGTGTTTTTTAGCCATGTACCATTTAAATGTATGCCAAATGGCGCCCGGTTTTTCAAATGATGCCTTTTGAAATTATTTATTAAGATGTTGTACACATCTTCACTATCGAGTGTTGAAGAACAGTATTCCAGAGTATCACATGTGTGTTCCCCATTTGATAGAGGATTTATTATCATCTGCCACAGCCCAGCATAACTTCTTGTGGGACAATATTGGTTGTTTCCTGTAGATAAGAAGTAGTCAAGTTGCATTAATTAGGTCTAATAAAAAAAGCATAAACTGAAATAAATAATGAAATAAATAAAAGATAAGATACGACGAACGATAAATAAACGGATTCTTCTTAAAGTCACGCTGGCCAGGTTTTTAACTTCCCGCTTTGAAAATTAATAATTTTCATAAGTAGGAAGTTATAGATTGTACGTGGTAGAGCCATGCTGCAGCTATATTAGCACGAATGGGTCGGCTCGACCGGGGAAGGACCACGCTCTCACAGAATGCCAGCGTAAAATAGCAGCTTAACACTGCTGTGTTTCGTATGTTGAGTGTAGGGAACCGGAGACCCTTTTTACTGGAAAAAAGGCATTCCTTTTTAGTCCTCATGGGTGACAACGCATCTGTATTTTTTCGCAAACGAGGATAGATGGCGATGTTTATTGGCCACAGCAACCTCTTACCATCAGATGGACTGTGTGCTAGTTTGTCAACTTATCCTATAAAAAATACATTCGGTCCGATTTTGAGAATGCGAGTTTCATCAGATTTTCACGTTTTTAGGTCCTAGGACGCCGTTCCGACTATTCCCGGCTGGACGTCCGGTTGTCGTACGTAGAACGAATCAACCGATCGAGATGGGCGACACGGCGTTCGAAAGTGTTTATTGAAATTTCGAGCTGATTAGATTTTCAAGTCAATCGGTGGAGCCGTTTCAAAGATTTTCAAAAAATAAAAACCAAAAACACAAAAATTAAATAGATTTTCGAGCGTTGCGCTTGAAAATAAGCGGGAAGTTCCAGGTATGGCCTGCAGGGTCAACCGCTTTTCAGATCTTTTTTGTTATTTTTGACAACAGTAATTGTTAAAGTCCAAAGCCCGTCAGGCTGCCGTCGTTGCTATTATGCAGGTAGTATCACGATGTTTTCCCTTTATTGCCAAACATATCTATAACATATGCGCCGATAAAAGATTGCTGTCATAATGCAATCAAAACACATTCGAGCCCAAAACCGAATAATTTGTGTGAAATCCTCAACAACCAGAAGTTTACAACAAAGCCACTGAAGCAGACTGCTACTTAATAATGAAATAATTTTAGTAATGTTTTATTTACTGCAAATAGTATTATGAAAGTTACTTGCGCATCCGTGAGGCATTTTGTAGTCATGCGTGTAGGGCCAATACGGCAGATCAGAAAGCGGCGCCACTATAGTCGCGTCGTACACGAAGCCAAATTCTTGCATCATAAGGAATTGGCGGTTCCAACCTACAGAAAGATAGGGCACCCGAAGACCTCTACATAAGAAAAAAATAATAATAATAGTGGTAATATTGTAAATAAAAAAAATTGCGTGTAACTGTGTAGGTACGTGAGTACACAATTACACGCACACACGTACGAAGTAAAATTTCTTTACAACATATCATTCTTCTTTTATTTTTTATCTATATCTATACAAATAAATAAAATTGAAGTGTCTGTTTGTAATGTCAAAATAACAGCTTTTTACTTAATGCATATGAAAGTGTTTACGGTACAAAAATACACTTTAAAATTTTTGTCTGTCTGTCTGTTTCTTGCGGCTAATCTCCGAAACGGCTGGGCCGATTTTGACGGTACTTTCACTGGCAGATAGCTGATGTTATAAGGAGTAACTTAGACTACTTTAATTTTAGAAAAATAATTAGGGTTCCGCGCAAAACATTAAAACCCATGAAATCCTAGTAAATTCCACGCGGGCGAAGTCGCGAGGGACGGCTAGTTACAAATAAATAAAATTTAAGTCTCTGTTTGTAATGTTAAAATAAGAGCTTTTTACTAAATGCATATGAAAGTATATACGATACTGATAACAAAAACACAACTTTTAAAATTTTGGTCTGTCTGTCTGTCTATTTGTTCCGGCTAAGTTCCGAAACGGCTGAACCGATCTTGACGGGACTTTCATTGGCAGATAGCTGATGTTATAAGGAGTGTCTTAGACTACTTATATTTTAGAAAAATAATTAGGGTGCGAAGTCGCGGAGAACAGCTACTTTTACATAAGTAGGTTAGGTAAATAATAGTACCTAGCCCCGGCAGTGAAACGTTACAAGAAAAGGTGAAGTTTTTGTTTTCTTATACCGTAAGTACTAAATTTCTCCACGACGTCGATAAAGAAGTTTCACTTCAAAAATATTAAAATTTTAATAAAGTGTATTTTTGTTATAAGTACCGTTTATACTTTCATATGCATTTAGTAAAACACAGTAATTTTGACATTACAAACAGACACTTTAATTTTATTTATTTGTATAGATTAGCCTCCAGAGGTAGTCCCATAAAATGTAAAGAAAAAATTTCACACCTATGTGTGGAAAAATAGGCGATGAAATTTTTAATGTTACTGTTTAGGTGACAATCGAGCTTTTATTATTCCTTATTCCACTTAAAAGGTTAAAAGGGACTTGAAGAACTAAAAATAATAAAATAATTTCTTCATGATAGCTTTAGAAATCGGGTCTTTAAAGGCGCGTTTCCACCGAAATCGTTGGCAACTTCTGTGTTTCCAACTGTATGCAACTCTTGTAGAAAATCGTCAACTTTTGTTTCCATTGCGTCCACACCGAATAAAAAAAGTTGCCAACAATTTGAGAAACATTTCAGTTGACAACTAGCTGCCTCCACCAAAGTATTATTTGCAAAATGTCTAAATAATCGGCCAATTGCGAGTCGGACTCGCACATGAAGGGTTCCGTACCATCGTAAAACTCGTTTCTAGTAGGGCAGCCCCCTTTAATTTTTAATTTATTTTTATTATTTTTTGTTTTAGCGGCAACAGAAATACATATTCTGTGAAAATTTCAACTGTCTACATATTGTTATGTAATATGAGATACAGCCTGCTGACAGACAGACGGACGGACAGCGGAGGCTTAGTAATAGGGTCCTTCGGGTACCGAGCCCCAAAAAAGAAGCCGGAGGTTAGCAAACCACTTTCGATTTGGAGTGGGTATCGGAAGCCGCAGCTCCAGACTTATTGTCATCTTTATCTTTTTCTCTCTGAAAAACTGTGCCATCAAATTTTTTATTTTCCTTTGTATATCAAGTCCGTGTAGCCCCATTGCATCGCTGATAGATCTCCATACATGCCAACATAAGGTAATTACAGAAACTTGTCACCAAAATTAACAACTTTGTCAATTTTACTTTGGTGGAGAACCAGATTAATACTTCTATACATTGTGTCTTAGCAGTATGAAATCGGGTTTTACTTTTTAGTAAAAGAATATTTTTCAGTTTACCCTTTGTCAGTCACCATCAACTAGTACTCAAATCATTCGTTATATATATATTTTTGTGCTTACAGTCACAGATAATATTTATTTACGAGGTTTAAATATATCAGTGTTACGAAATCACCTCATTACCTGAAATCTTCCATCCAGACTTTGCCAAACCGGTTGATTATATTTGCTTGGCCAACCATTTCGTCGAACCAATCTTCCACGGTGGCGTTTTTAGACCACCATTCTTCCGGTCCTCGTTGTCTAACAAAATAACAATTATGTTCATGCATTATGTGGTTATAATTATTTTTTCCAACAAAAAACTTAAGATTTTTACTCTTTAATAACCACAGGCCATTCCCAAACTATTTTGGGCAAGATACCCAAAATGTACTGACACCTCAGACCCCCCTAGCCAAATAACTTTTAAAATCATATCTCTAGTTTTTTTTCCAATTGATACAAAATACTTACCAATTTAAAAACTTTGCGGTTAGTTAGGTGAGTAAACTGGACATCATTTTCTCATCAAAATTTAAATAACTAAAATAAATGGACATAAAATTCCGTAAATATCAAGTATAATTAATAATTATTAAGCCTCTTCGGCTTACTAATCCTTTGGGATATGTCGGTAACTCTGGTTCTACTGCGGATATGCTCATTTCTAAGTTTATCACGCAGAGAACCGACAACCGATGGGGAAAAAAGGTTCTCGAGTGGCAGCCTCGTACTGGTGGACGAAGTGTAGGGCGTACCCCACTAGATGAAGTGACGACCTGGTAAGACATGCAGGAAGTCGATGGATGCAGGTGGCTCAGGACTGTGCTTTGTGGCATTCGTTGGGGGAGGCCTATGTTCAGCAGTGGACTTCTGAAGGGCTGTAATGATGATGATGATGAATACAAATTACGTAAAAATACTTAAGTAGGTAATTATTTTTTGAAAAAAGCATTAAATTCTATGACAAGTTGGTACACGTAACACAACTTATAAAATATCTTGAAAGTTTCATATAAGAACTTGTGTTAATTAGTCGTAGGTAGCCGAGTCGATTTTTAGACCTCGTCGACCCCCAAAATCAGTTTTCGTTTATGGCGGCCCCTGCGAAACTGATTTCAACCCCAAGGGGTCGATATCGACCACTTAGTAAATCCCTGCCATAGGCGATCTCATATTTCCTGACAGTCGCGAAATAAAATAATTTTTAGCAAGGATATCAACAGGTATCTACATAAACAATTTATTACATCTTATATTTCATTAAACTTACGTTATTGAATTTACTGCAATTTCATGTCCATCATTCCACAGCTTTTGTACATGCCTATAATTTGTATAGGGATGCGAAACGAAGAAGGTAGCCTTAATGGGACACCCGTTGGGATTTTTTCGGTCGCTGGTAAATAAATGTTTATTGTAAATGTCCCAGTTTTCGTGGTTTACCGCGCCATCAAAAGTTAGCGTTATCATTTGTGGCGTCTGAAAATAAAATATTTTAAAAGAATAACAAACGAATAACGAATGAACACCAGCGTAAAATAGCAGCTTAATGCTGCTGTGTGTGTTTCGTATGGTGAGTGTTCTCTACACTCCGGAGACCCATTTTACTGGAAAAGAGGCTTTCCATCTTAGTCCTCACGGCTGACAACGCATCTGTATTTTAATTCGCAAACGAAGGTAGATGTCTATGGGCCACACTTACCATCAGGTGGACTGTGTAGTCGTTTGTCGCCCTTATTCTATAAAAAAAAGCGAGCGTAATGCGGGTAGTGCGATCCATATTCATTAATCTTGGATGAGGTTTCTAAATGATAATAGTAGCGTTGAAATGTCTCGTTCCCTGCTTACCAAAAAGAAAGAAAGTCAATTACTAGAGCCTTGTCCCGATAACAACGCCAAGTCAGGAATTTACATTTAGAAAAAGCCAAAATTAGGGGCTTTTTATGTGCCAAATTTAAAAATTAGGTGCTCCAAAATTTTCACCGAACGAACTGTTTTAAATTTGCGGTGTTGGCAAAACGTATCGCTAGGATCGCAGTGACAATAATAGATATACGATAAATAGTAATAGCAAGGAATTAAGTGCTAATTAAGTGATGCAAGTAAGTATAGGCAATGACAAAGCGCCTCTAATATTTATCGTATAATATCTATTATCGTCACTGCGATGCTAGCGATACGTTTTGCTAGCAACGCAAATTTCAACAGTTCGTTGCGGTGAAAATTTTAGAGCACCTAATTTTTAAACTTGGCGCCTAATTAGCAACTAAAAACCCCTAATTTCGGCTTTTTCTAAATGCAAATTTCTGACTGCGTTGCTGGCGAGACAGAGCTAATTACTAGGTCTCCAGTTCTCGCCACGAACCAAACACAGGGTAGTTATGTAGCACCGGTAACCGAATGATTCAAGGAACGGTTTGCGAAACTAAAAAGTGATGGGTTCGAATTCACCATTCGACTACTGTCGTTACCTTCGTGGTCGTGACCCTCTTAGCTTTATAGAATTGCTAGCATTCTTTGTTGCTATGTTACACTGTCATTCGGTGAAGTTTATCAAAAATCTGTAAATTTAGCTTCAAAATCTAAAGCTACTGAAATTATTATTAGCGGTTATTTAAAAAAAAAGTTGTATTTCTAGAAATCATTCTTTTGCTTAACGTGAATTCTGTCTGCCAGCTGCTATCACGGTAGCAGCACATAATTTGTATGTAAAAGTGAAAAATTAAATTAGTATCGGCGCAGGTATCTGCGCAAATTTATCTATGATCCTTTATTAACTTCCTTCTGCGTAGCGTTGAAAGGAAGTTAATGGTTTTAGCTGGCAGTCTGTTAGTCTGTATGCCGACACGATAACTTCCGTTCCACTGGACCGATTGACTTTAAATTTGGTATGTGGATACCTTGAGGTAGTAGCTCGGTCGAGTTTGAATTTGGGTCCTGTAGATCCAAGGGCATATGGGAGTCACGCAGAAGGAAGTTGTTTTTCTTGAATTTACATTCAACTCGTTATTGATCGATGATGATCCGACGATTGGTGATGCAATAAAACTCGGCGGCGTCTTACCGGCTTTATCAATATTAATTTGTGATAGTAAGTAGTAGTAATGTGTGTAATTAATATTATTTTGTGCCAATATTTCTCGGGAAAACGTCACCGAGTACCGGAACAAACTTGTGTCTGAAGTCGAGTCTTTGCTGGACAAAGTCTCGGATTGGGGGCGACTAAATCTAGTCCAGTTTAATCCTCAGAAGACACAAGTTTGCGCGTTTACCGCTAAAAAGAACCCCTTTGTCGTATCTCCTCAGTTTCAAGGTACTCCCCTTGTTGCCTCAGCCAGTATCGGAATCCTCGGCGTCGACATATCGAGCAACGTGCAGTTTCGTGGTCACTTGGAAGAGAAGCCCAAATTGGCCTCTAAAAAGCTTGGCGTGCTCAGTAGAGCGGGACAGTATTTCATGCCGGCTCAACGCCTGCAACTTTACAAGGCGCAGGTTCGGCCTCACATGGAATACTGTTCCCATCTCTGGGCTGGGGCTCCCCAGTGCCAGCTCCTTCCACTTGACCGCATCCAGCGCAGAGCGGTTCGAATCGTCGACGACCGAGTCCTTTCCGATCGGCTGGACTCATTGGCACTGCGAAGAGATGTTGCATCTCTTAGCATTTTCTTTCGCATTTACCATGGGGAGTGCTCTGAGGAATTGTTCGGATTAATCCCAGCCGCTAAATTTCACGAACGCACATCGCGGCAGAACTCCCGATACCATCCACACCATCTGGATGATTGGCGGTCCACCACTCTGCGATTTAGAAGATGTTTTCTTCCTCGCACAACCTCCTTGTGGAATAGTTTACCACCAGCGATTTTTCCGGACCGATACGACTTAGGGACCTTCAAGAAAAGAGCCTACTCCTTTTTAAAAGGCCGACAACGCATCTGCAATTCCCCTGGTGTTGCGGTTGTTCATGGGCGGCGGTAGTCACTTACCATCAGGTGAGCCGCATGCTCGTTTGCCCCCTCTCCTATAAAAAAAAAACTTAAATACCTAACAAAAAACTAAATTAGGTTAGACATACAAAATCGTTTAGTTAACAAGTGATAAAATTAAAAATTTTGTACAACCGACTTCAATATATAAATAAAATTAAATACGCATTATTAAGGTTAACTCAAAATCTACAGGTCAGTTCTTATTCAAATTTATATGGGAACACAACACAAATATTGAGAACCTCCTCCTTTTTTTGAAGACGGTTAAATATGCCTTATTTTCATCAGCCAGAAATAATTATTGGGTATGTACTCTTAGTCGGGGACGTCCGTGAGTGTAACGCCAGAACGGAAAAGCGTATGATCACGCGATGAATTCGTTATAGAACGATGCACATTACCTGGTTTGGAATAAGATTTCCTGGTATTTCTTTACCGCTTTTTGTGCAAAAGCAGTCCGGTAACAAGCACATGTTAGGATCACATGGTTCCGCCGAATTTGGATCGTTATTTAGGTCACACCAGCCCTGAATTAAAAAATAATAATAATTTTGGATTGTTTTTTTAAATAAGTTTTTTTTAATTAGCAAATCATATCCATACTTTGTAGCTTCGTACATACATTGAAGTATCGTTTCTCACATAATTATTATAAAACATTGAAATATTAATAAAGCTGTAAAATTATAGTAAATAGAAAGCTTTAGAAATTTTATATAATGATGTTAATAAGTTTTATATATCATACAAGTATAAGAGTACACAAATTCCTAGGCTTTACGAGTCTATTGTGAAATCTAATGATCGTTAGAGGATTCATATAGAAACCTGGGTCATGTTAAATGGGAATAAATAATAGAAACATGGGTAAAACTATTGATGCACATATATTTATGTATAATATTTGCGTCAATTGGTAAAAGCCAAATACAGTTGGCATACCCGCAACCAACCGAGGAATTGTCGTTACGTAACTATAACCATTTGTAAATATATTTTGGTTACGTTTTGCGGTATTAAGATTTAAAAAAAATAATTTTCCACAAAACAGGTTTCAGTTACTCATGTTAAAGTTTTTTCGAAATATATAAATTATTACAGCATTACATTTAGGATGAGCGGTAATGATGCACGATTTAACGATAAGGATGTAGGTATGCAATGTCATAGTATTTCCTTAAAAGTTAAATACTGTGTTTTAATGTTGATATATAACTAAATAAGTAACATAAACAATTATCGTTTGGTGGCGGCGTCCGCAACATCCCTTCTCGTCCAGTGCGCGCCGTAAGAAGCTACCAGGGCTAGCTAAAAAGGTCATAAAGACCTTAGTGGATTTGACGAAGATAGCGGTAATACCATCTTGTTATAATATATCAGATATTTATAATACCCAGAACAATGCACCTATAGCAAGGGATTATTACGTGTTGATAAATTAAGAAAGAAAAAGAAAATGTGCAGGAATACAAGAGTATGTAACATAATTAAGAAATATAATATTTAAAGGCTCATAAATACTTCGTCTGAAGAATCATCGCAGTCGAAGGAACCGTCGCAAAAATATTCCGCCGGCAAGCAACGGTTATCAGAGCAACCCAGGTGAGTTTCGTTGGCGCATTTTGCCCTCTCCAAAAGCGGTTTCGGTATTAAGATTTCTAAAATAAAATATGGTAATAATACATTTTATTTTCGCAGTAGAATATTTTATATAAATAAAATGATAGAGGTTTGCAGTTGAGCGCGCATCACGGAAAAACTACAGGATAGATTTCAATCAGGTTTTCTAAGTTTTATTTCTTAGACACTTGGCCCTTATCTAAAAAAAATGCGATATCTTAATATAAAGTTATAACATTTTTAAGAAACAACGATTTTTATAAGCATTACGTGTTCAGATGTGTGTAAGCAATGCGGACGAAGTCGCGGATATCAGCTAGTCTTTAATAAACTGAGAAGAAAATCGTGACCATTTGCTGCAGATTCTGGGTTTTACCTATTTAGCAGGAACGAAATAAAAGTGGGTAGTTATTTTGGCGTATAAACGCTCATACTGGCAACTATACAACATTATTTTACGATAGATTTTTCCTCTTATATTTGGAATAAAACTAAAAAATTTAACTTTTTTTTTATTCCCTGCATTTTCAGATCACCATAAACTCTGAAATTCAATTCACAATTAAATTAGGGGCAAACAATTCTATAGATTTCCTAAATGTTTTAGTTATTCGGAATCTTTATACTGTGTATAAAAAAATACCCATACTAACCGATATTTACACGGTGCATTTCTTTACAATTCATAACAGTTAGCTACCGTGGGAAAAACATTGTTACAAAGAGCACAAGGGTTCTGTGGTAGTAGAAACTTGGCCACCGAGCTCCAGCACGTTAAGCTAGTATTGCACGACAGTAAGCTTCGTGTCCAGCGTCGAGCGTATGCCATTTACTACGAGTACCATATGTCAGAGGAGTCACAGGCAAGATTGGCTTCATCTTGAAGCGGGCTTCCATAAGAATATACTATAAGCCAGCTGAAGAAGTTTAAAAGTCCGATACTGAACCCCATAGATTGTCTTATAGGGGGTAATTTGACTGCCTTGTTGCTCTAGTGGTCGTAAACGTGGTTGCTGGTCACGAGGTCCTGAGTTCAAATCCCGGGGCGGACCAAAATACGTAATGGGTTTTTCTGTCCAGAAATCTCAGAAGCTGCTCGGAGTCGGAATAGGCGGTGTTTCACCCTCGTGCCTGCTGTGAGCTGTGCTTACGCATCCTGTCCTGCGCAAATGGCTAGTCTCCATTGAGATTGGCTGCAGTAACCGAAGTTCTGTCTGGAGGACATTATTATATTAATTGCTTTTAGAAAGATGCTGCTGCCCATCTCCTAGTTTGTTTCCTTCTGATGGCTCTTACGACACTCACGGGACGATATGAAGTTAGTGGATATTCTGTGATGTTGTTGATGATGAACTCCTTTAATAGTTGAAAATGGATAAAACAATATTATAATGTATTTTCTATACATTTTTTATATAAATTATAGTTATTACCCTTGACAAGTGTGTTTTAACATTCATGATTTAAATTTTGATACATTGATTTCTGGACCTCGCGCTAATACTTGGTCCAGTTGTGAATCTAAACTATCCAGAGACCCACACAAACACATACAATGTTTTTTTATCAAAACCCGTCTAGTCGTTTAGTAGGACACACGTATTGAAGAATTATATAGTATCCTAAGTGAACTGATAAAGAATGTGTAAAAGTAAATGTGTGGCAAATAAATACCTGTTGTGACATCGCAATTGTGCACATTTTGGTACATATCGCACAGCTGGCGATTAACATCAAAGAGTAACCCTTGCGTGCATTTGAACTCGAATACCTCCCCATCAACGCAAAGGTAATATTTGGCACATTCGTCTCTGGTCCGCAAACTTTCTTGCGGTATATCCGTATTCCTATAAATTAATGCAATGTCAAACGTAAACTTTAGAAATGCGCCCTGTATCATAGTGACTATCTATTGTGTAAAATAAATTGCATTATATGTAGATTGTAGACTATATACATTTTTTAATTTGTACGGGATTTGAACTCGCTGCCCGCAATACCTAAGTTGTTTGTGATTGTAGTTACTGACAGTTATATTGTGTGATGGGATGTCCATAAAAAGAAATCGAATTGTCAAGGCGCCAAATCTAACGTCATCGTCTGTGAGAAAAGATGCACCGACCAGCGAAAGTGAATTTCACAAGGTGTTGCAGGCAATGTTAATAACGTGACACACAATGATAGACTCAGTACAGTCAAGGTTGAAGCGAAAGTAGTATGGGGTCGATGTACTCACGAACTTTTCGCAGCAAATACAATTTTTTATAGCATCATACTGGGTTATTTATTCGTTAATATTATTATATATTATTATTTAATGTTTCTTCATTTAACTCCAATGACGAAAAGTAATATTAACAATTCACAATTTAAACATAAAGGTTTTTTATTACACAAACTTAGTAGCGCAACACCTGCTTGTTTTTCTAGCTGTTTGAAACAGCTTTCTTTAAGTTAAATAAAAAGCGGTTCTTAGAACGGGTCAAGTACAAGTAACTAAGGCATCTACACACATTTATAATTCAATCAAACACCTGCTAACGTATTTATTTAAATTAAAGAGGTAAAAAATGTAATAAGCTGAAAAATAATGGTTTTTTTTTGTAAATATTTATTAAAAATAATATACTTAATAGAGATAATGGAAATGTTTGCTTGTATCATGGATAGAAGTTATCAACAATTGCGAAAAACTTTTTATGGGAAAACTTATAGTTACCATTGGCACACCTTTTACAGTTATTAATTCAGGTAAATAATAACATTTTATAAACAAACCGCGGATTCTTACTATTTTAACTTAATTTATTTTTTGGCTTAGGTGCAATTTAATTTTTACAAACCTGTAAAATCTTCCATTTTCAAGGCATTTTGTCTCATTCAAACTTCTTTTATGTACTTGCCGTCCCGTCGTCTCTGCAATAAAGGTTTATTTTTAAAATCCTTTACGTTACCACTAAAATAAAATTCACAATCACACGAGACTAAAAAAAAAGTCAAATTAGAACACTAAACTACCTACTAGCCTACTACCAACAATTTTATTTCAAACTTTACCTAAAATAAGCGTTATTGTTAAACTAATGACACCAAACGTAAACAATTTAGCCATGCTGTGAGCTCGGTTTTCGCCAAAGCACTGATAGTGGTAGATATACCTGTATGAACATTCATTTCATCGCCGGACACTGGTACTTTGGTTACTTTCTTTTAGACTCGGAAGTCGGAAGTAATACATTGTTACATATTTCAAAGCATCTACCTCACGCTATGCAAATAGTTTAGCTGTTGTGTCACAGTCACTAACGCTGTTCTGGGTATTGTATTTTCTTATGCCTCTGAGATTTTTCTTTTTGATGTTTTGAACTTCTGGAATCACCAAAGAGTGAGAGAGACGGAGTTTGTCGCCACTAATAAACGACGAAAGCATAACTTTCTAAATAGTATAATTTCATAAAATATGCATTTAAGTTTTTATATGAACAGGTCTGGTAATGAGAACTTCATCATCGCCTTTTGCAAAACATTGAGTTGCTGAAGAAACTGAGATAATATATTGAATGTCTTTGAATAATTTTTAGTCTAATCACAATTTTCATTTTATTTTTCATCAACTTTTACTTGTTCTTTCTTTCTTCTTTATCAGGCCCGAACAGTCCACTGCAGACGTGGAAGCTCTTATAGTAGTAACGATCGCTAGCATCTCGATTCCTGCAATTTCGACCCGGCACTGGTAGCCAAGACACAGCAGCAATAATCTATATATAAAAATCAATTTTGTCCGTTAGTTTCGCTAAAACTCGAAACTGGCTTGACCGAGGCCATGGACTGACTGGTCCCTGGATGGTTTAGATCCACATTTGGAGGCGGTAGGTGGCGTTGTTGTCGAGATCCAGAGATCGCCCCTGCGAAACTGGGGCCGTCGTTATTATTATATAGCTTAATATAATTTAAAATTAAACATTAGTAGTGTAGTTGTACCACTTCTAGACCACCTGAGTCAGACGTGGTTCAACGACGTTCGTCGACGCCCGATCCTAAAAAAAAAAAAAAAAAAGGTTTTGGCATGCTCTGATCACGAATCCGCGGTCCATTTTTGTGTAGAATGCACGGTTCCAGAGATGTGTAGATCAATTAGCTAATATCTAATTGATATCCGGTAAGGGCCTCCACCGTCATTAGCGTCCCATTGTTCCTATTTCTATTGTTCTATTGTTCATTAATCACCCTCATTGCAGCGTGTGCGTCGACTATATCAGTGCTATTGTTTATTATAATTCTTTGTTTATACAACGCTAATCTGAATCATCAATAAAACACATTACATAATTTTGTTACAATTTTTATTTATAAAATACAAAATCTTATTAATTATTATCTATAAAATAGGAGCGAAACATCTCATCCACTAAAATATCGTTGTACAATGTGTTCCTTGTAAATATACTCGTAAAACTATGTATTGAACATCCTTGAAACTTATATAGTAAATACATTAAGCAATATTCGCCACAAACTGAAGTCCACTCATTCTGAATCCTATCAACATTCCAGTTCCATCTTTTACAATTCCTTTTTAAAAACTCTAGATGATATCGTACAGGTGATCGTCCATATGAATCAAAATATTGACCGACGTCATTCGTATCGATATATAAAGCTACCCAATGTGACCCTGGTTTATCATCTGTATCCAAATTACATATTATATACGTTGGTACGTGGGTATACATAGGCAGTCTATTAGCTGCATAAACATTATTTTCTAGACTGGGGTGAATCTTTTTCAGATGTTGTTGTACATCTAGTGTATCCATGATATTACTGCTATTAGTAGATTATTACAGTACCTAGCTACTCAATGAATAACATAGGAATGGTCAATTATAGTGATTTCTACATATTAAATTGCATTTTAGTGATATACAAATCGTACTTGAGTCATTGATCACCAAACAAAACACAATACGAAGAAATGTTGAGATAGGCAACGGAAATGTGAGATAAACTGATATGTTTCTAAATATTAAATTGCATTTTTGTGTTATACAAATCGTACTTGAGTCATTGATCACCAAACAAAACACAATACGAAGAAATGTTGAGATAGGCAACGGAAATGTGAGATAAACTGGTTGACGCATAAAGTAATTATCAACTCATTACGGAAATACTTTAGATTAGAATTTTTACGTACTGGTGGTATATAAGACCAACAAACGCAGTCATCGAGTTAGTGTACGGTCGTTTGGCTACAGTGGATCTATCAATAGTACATTTGTGTTACTTCAATACACCAAAGGCTATGGATGTAAGTGTTTATTCTATTGACTAAATTACTTTTTTTCTGTTATTTTCATGTGTGTGTGTATTATTTTATTTAAATATTGTGTATGTATATGATTAAGCCGTGGTAACTCAGATGGTTAGCGCTAGCTGTAAATTTCACAGTACGCAACCCGGGTTCGATCCCCGCCAGCACCAATTAAATTGTTAATAGCAATTTTAAGTGCTTATTACCACGTGCTTGGTGGTGAAGGAAAACATCGTGAGGAAACCTGCATGTCTGAGAAAATTTCGAAGGCATGTGAAGTTCACCAACACACATTGAGGGAGCGCGGCGGACATTTCCTTGCTCTAAAACCCTCTCAGAAATGAGAGGAGGCCTATGTTCAGCAGTGGACTTTAATAGGCTGTAACTTTAACTTTTTTAACTTTTATGATTAAGTGTTAACAAATTGATATTAACATGATAACTGTGTTGTTGCAGAAATCATTGAGCTTCGATGAAGATACCTATAAACAGTATTACTACTCGCCACTCTCCCCTCAAGAAGAGAGTGATAACCTCGTCATTAATAATAACACATGCGATGGTGGAAAAAGAAAATCGCAATCGATTGATCATTTTTTTGAAGCTGAATCAAAAATAAAAAAGAGGAAGTTGTTATCATCAACCGTAGCACGAGCCGCTAGAGATGGTGTATCATACATTTCTACTAATTCTGACGACGGAGACCAAGCGACGCATCTCATCAAAATTGAAATGTACGATATGAAGAAGCTATCCAAGATTCCAACTACTGATCATTGGAAACATGCTTCCACGAGAATTAAATATTACGTAAAGACTAATAAGGATAGCATCTACGACAATACAAACGCCCTCGTATACAATATAACAAAGACAATAGCAGAAAGTGAAAAAGTTAAAAAATACTTTTTTAACAATGACAGTCATTAGCTGATCATTAGTGAATGTGATTCTGTTTACTTCAATTACAGGAAGACAAGAGCGGAAGGAAGAGATGAGTGTGGCATACGTGTACAAAACACATCATTGAATAACAAAACTACAACACTGAGTGGAGAAGAAAACGAGAAGAGTATGCAGTACTCAAGAGCTGAATATCCATTCTTCAGTTCAAAATCTAGCCGTTTGCTTAGTTTCGAAAACTGGCCTCTAGTTATGCGACAGAAACCTGAAGATCTTGCCGAAGCTGGTTTCTTTTATACTGGCCATGCAGACGGGACCAAGTGTTTCCATTGTGGTGGTGGTTTAAAAGATTGGGAAGATGATGATGATCCTTGGCAGCAGCATGTTCAGTGGTTTAGTCAGTGTGCTTATGTAAAATTTCAACTCGAACAGTGTTTTGTATTAGATTAAATAGAAGATTTATAAAGAAATAAAAAAAATATATTGCATACAATTTGTTTTATTTAATTTTATAACGTTTCACATAGTTACATACACACAAAATGCATTACACATAACACATAAAATCTAACACACAACACATATTATAACCTTAACTACTATAGTCTACAGTAACATTTCTGTTTTTATCTATCTCAATAATATTATCAAACTCAGCATAAACTATACAGTTAATTGTTTGTATTAATGAGGATTCAAATCGTACTTCTATTCTTACACTACCATGCTTTATGAGATTCCAATGAGTTGATGAGTTAGCTGATAAATCAGGAGTTAAGTCAAATGCTAATAGACAGTAACCTTTGCCATACTGTTCACAAGAGATTCCATTTCCTTCATTAAGAAAGTGAATACCAGTTCCCGAGAATAGAGTATGATATGCTGATGTAAATATGCTATTATTAAAAGATGGTTGCAAAGCTTTTGAAGGTATTTGTTGACCATCAATATATAAGCTGAAAGAATTAATACCATAGTTTTCAAAGTTAAATGGATTTTTAGTAAGGGAACCATTAAATGCAGAATTGTTCACAAATCCAATTATACATCTTTTCGGTACCTGTCCTAAAAATATATTATCAAGAGTTTTTCCTTGAACACCCGAAGGAATTGTTAAAACTTTTACTTCAGCTCGAGTAATAGGATATTTAGCAGTGGTAGAAGCTAAAACTTTTTGATGTGCGAGTAATACACTTGGATTAATTCGTGCTCGTCGCACAATAAGAGTTGCGTCCGTAATGCAAACTTTAAACTTTACATCGTTCGACCCAACAATTAAATTAAAACTCTCTCTTGATCGAACCAATTTAACACTCATTTCAACACCATTAATTAAAAATTTATCTTGGTTAAAAATGTCACCGTGAAGATGACCAATCATTTCTATTTCCTTACTTTCACTAATCAATTCCTGTCTTTTAACAAATCCTATGTTTTTACCATCTGTAGAATCCATTTTTCCTGCTGTATCCTCATACCAAAGGCTACAAGTAAGATGAGATTGTTTAGCAGCAGGGGCATAGTTTAAAAGGGTTTCCATGTATGCTCGATATGCATAGGTATTATTAGGTGGTGATACAAGTTTTTGGTTTAAATAAACATCAAGTTGACTAAAAAGTGAATGCAGCCAATTATTTACAGGTGCTACTATTGTAGTAGATACCAAGTTAGTTGAATCTTGATTTAATACTTTTGCCTTTATGTGGAGTAATGTATGAGACAAATCTATGTAGTCATCGCCGGTCCCAGGAACTTGAAACTCGATAGGTCCATCATCACCAAGAGATGAAATTGGTTTATAATGAATCCACAATCCATTTTCAATGCTAGTTTGTGTAGACGGTAGTGCAAACAAATCCAATTCTGACTTAACGCACTCGCAAGAATGATTATGA